AAAGAAAGCTTTACCCTCCTTCTTAGTCTACTGATAGAGCAGAAGTGGATCTCTTCTGAGAGTCAGGGGTTAGGCCAAGCCTGAGGCTAGATGCAAAAATATGTGGCTGAATGTGCCTGGGCACACATCCCAGAGGCCTGTCTTAGTTTGTTTGGGTTGTTGTGCTAAACACCACAACCAAAAGCAATTTGGGGAGGAAAGGATTTATTTGGCTTGCAGTTTGGAATCTAACCTGAAGGGAGAGGACAGGAACCTAGAGGCAGGAGCTAAAGGATAGACTACGGAGGAGTGCTGCTTAATGGCTTGTTCCCTCTGGCTTGCTCAGATTACTTTCTTATACAGCTCATGGTCACTTTCTCAGGGATGATACTGCCCAGAGTGGGCTGGGTGCTGCTATGTTAATCATTATTCAAGAAAATGCCTCATAGACTTGCCTGAAGTCCAATCTTATGAAGGTGGTTTTTTTGTTTGTTTGAGGTTTCCTCTTCCCAGATGACTCTAGTGTGTGTTGAGTTGACAATAAAACTAACCAGCACATGTCAAAGAGCAGTGTGTTCAGAGGATCCAGTGCCTTACAAGTGTTTTACCTGCCTCTGTGATGGGCTTTGTAAGTGTGGAGACATCATCTCCAAAGAACAGGCAACTTCTTGGTATCAATACTCAGAGGCCCATAAGATGTATACAGCTAGACTATGAAGTCTGTAGCACAACAGTGCTATAGTAGGAGGCCTTAGTGACAGATGGTCTATCACTAGACAAATTTTTAAGGGGAGCAGGTTGAGACATTTTAGCAGTCACCAAGAGCCTTCAGTCTCTTGGTAACCAACTACTGGACATACAATTTTGGAGATAGCTGGAGGCTAGGGTGGGTAGGCCATGGCTACCTTGGGTGGCCATTGGAGACCAGTGGTTGTCTGATTGAGTGGAGAAAGTAGGGTTCTCTGATGGGGGTGTTCTGGGACCTACAGGAAAATGCCTGAACCACTAGCTACCCTTCCCACTCCAGTCTTTATGGTACAATATATAAAATGTAAGAGAAATACCTCACTTAGGCTTTGAAAACAAAAATCCTTCTATCCACTGAGTACTCCAGGCCTTGATGTGGGCATTTATGCTAGACTGTTGCTCACACTAGCTCCCCGGGTATCTGGATTCTCTTCAAGTACTCCATTTGCCTCTGAGGGAATACTGGAATAAAGAATACAATCAGAAGACAGGTGGAGGTGCTAGCCATTCTCTAAACCTTCTTTCTGGAGATGCAGAGCTGGTGGGAGAGACCAGAGGGCAAGTGCCTGTACCACAGGGAAGACAGTGGCCCCTGACCTTGAGTAGTATTGCCTCTGACTTACCTTTGTAAGGGTCTTTTGAAGGATGTGCCAGGTGACTGTGCCTTTTTGTGTTTTTAGACACAAATGACTCATGGCTTCTCAATGTTGAAAGAAAGCAGGGCACTGGCTCCTTGCTGTTCTTCCAGGAAGGAATATTCTCATTTTCATGTCAGGTGCAGGGTGGAGACGGGTGTTTAGACAAAGGCTGTTTCCCTTTGTTCCTTGGTAACAGAACCATAGTTTGTTCAGTGGCAACGTATGCAGGCTCCAGGGATAAATCGTGCTTACACCAAGGCAACTAGAGTAATTCTGCTTTCCTTCACAATTGACTCATACCTTGTGACATAGTTCTGAGCAAATAGATATAAGAAAGTCACAGTGGAGGGATGCTGAGAAATACGAACTCGCATAGAACAGAGGCCCACAGAAAGATAAGTCCCATTTACCCTTGGCTGTGTCCAGTTTTGGATGTTATTAAGTATGGGTGCAGTCTGAGGATTGAGATCATGAGGCAGCAAGCCTGAGGATAAAGGTATTAGGCTGAGGATTTTGTAATTGTAATGTCTTCACTGGATTTCTTAACCAGTTTAGTGGATCCCACAACTGCTCACCTTCAGATTACAAGTGAAATAAGAGACAGGCATATTCATGGCAAAGGCCAATGTTAGGTAGGCTTTTTTATCGAACTGAAATATATCCTAACTGCTACTCCATACTAGTGATGGAAATTGCACAACAGTGGAGAGAATTAAGTGAGCACGCATGTGACAAACTCCAGGAAGTGGCAAAGATAAATCATTACGTGCTGGATGGAGTACTGAACTTTCCTGACACCACCCCTTTTTGTATATTGATTCACAACCCAATGGCTTTTTGTGAGTGTGGGTGTCCAGAGATGCTAGTTTTGGTCTTGACTCTGTGATCTGGGGCACCAGTTTCCTCTCTTTAGAGAGGAAACAAAAAAGATTAAAATAGACTCAAGGTCTTCTGGCGTTCAGTTGGCATTGGTTCAGGACAAAGATTTGGATTACCTTATTTTGCCACTGAAAACCTTCATCTCCTAAAATCTATAAGATTATGAAATTCATTTTAAAATAAAATGTCTTTAATATGAACTAACGTTTTACTGTGGTGGGAAGAGAAATGAATGAGAGTTTAAAAAGGTTTCTACTGTTTATTAAGAAATTTTAATAAATGTCTATTACATCTATATAATTTTAATTGATCCTTTGTGGAGAGTTTAGAGCTTCCCCTTCAAGCAAAGTTTGCATTGAGAAACACGGAACTAGATGGATCTTTCAGATTCCTTCCAGCATTAACATTCTGATTCTAAGTAGGAAATGTGCTGGAGTGCTTTGCCAACAGAAAGAACCAAAATGGCAGCCTCAGCTGGCAGTCTTCTCATCTTAGGGAACTCACATCAAGAATTGAGATGCCATCAGACTCTGACTTCCTCGTTGTTGTTGAAGGCCACACACTGACTTTCTGGGTCAATGGAGGCTATTTGCCAATGCCATGCCTCACTCATGATCCTGATTGAAAACCAGAACACGTTGTTCTTTGGGAATATAACCGAAAGCTCCAACTGAAGAACACTGTAAGATCCTGACTGGTGTCGAGCCTTTTCATTCTTGTTTCAGTAGAACAGGCTGAATGGCTGAGAATCTGATTGCTCAGGGATAGAGAACTATTTAGCAAGTCCTGCTGTGGTCCTGGTGCTTCATGGAGACATAACCTTGGTTTCTTTCTTTCTTTCTTTCTTTCTTTCTTTCTTTCTTTCTTTCTTTCTTTCTTTCTTTCTTCTGTGTACCCATAGTCTAGAGCAGTTGTTATTATAATAGGCAAATCCCAGGTTCTTTTGGACTGGAGGAAAGCAGCTGACATAAATACACAGATATAATTATTTTCCTCTGGAGTGGGACTGCTCTCTGATTTGATTAAAGCAGACATGATTAGCCCATCTCAATGACTGTTGAGGCTTCTCCCTTTCAGTGTGGCCTCGGAGAGCCTCTTAGATTGAATTGTCTTGACATAAAACCACAGCTGAGCTTTGCAAATGGAGCCCAATATCCCCACTGTATTTCAGTGAAAACCTAGGAGTATCTTTTTTAAATATAGAAAGCCAAGAATTCAGCACATCATGACTTTTACCACAGAGCCAGCCATCTGCAGCCAACCAATCTGGAGTTCCACTGAATGACCTGCATGCTTAACCCAGAACAGCTCCTCTGTAGAGGAGAAGTTGCCAGTTCTTTTCTTATTTAGGGTTGCAAAGGCTTTGAGGGGGTACCCTCAAAGCTTCATGTGATGGTAGCTTGGTCTCCAGTGTAATAGTGCTGGGGTGGTGTGGTTCCTAAAGAGATGATTAAATAATGGGAGTCCACTCTCTGCAAGGGTTAATATAGTCCTCAAAAGACCGTGTTAATTCACTCAAAAAAGAACGAGCCTAACCTTCCTTGGTCTCTTCCTTCCTTGCTCTCACACACACCCATTGGGCATGTGGCCATTTTCCTTTCCACTTCTCTGCTGTGTTGTGACACAGCCAAGAGGGTCCTTGCCAAACATCTGCCAGGCTGTTTGGACTTTCCAGTCACCTGAATCACCAGCCAAACAAACTTCTTTTCTTTAGGCATTAGTCACAGACACAAATTTTGTTATAGCAACATGATAAAACTAAGACATCTGGTCTGACTCTCGCTCAGGAGACGGAGCAAAAAGACAAGGCTGGCTGAATACACCTACCAGGGCTGTCTTAAGAGGCAAAGGGAGCTGAATAAGAAATAGAAGCAGTCTCAAAGGACACTGAGCAACAGAAGGTCAGCACAGCACTCTTCAACAAAGGCAAAGACTGCCTGATACTGAAGCTAATGCCAACGAAAACAAAACAAGATGGGAGAAAGGAGGCAGATTCCCCCTAGGTTCACACAAAGCCTTATGTTTACAAGGCCGATAAACCACTAGACTCCTCATTTTCATTAAAAAAATTACAAAGTCAAGTGGACCAGATATGGTCCCCAAAGTCTAGCTCCTTTTTCAAGAAAATAGGCAGCAAAGTAAACCCTAGAATTTCCAGGAAGGTCAACTAAATCAGGAAATAAAACAACTGGGCTCAGAAATGGAGAAACATAGTGATGATAATGAAAAGGTTGTAGAGGTATAGAGTTCTTTGGAGTCTCTGAACCCTCGTCAGCTCCCCAAAACACACAATATGTGCTTTAATGTGACCTCAGCCACAGAGGGCTACAGAACTGACAATTCAAACTCAGATCTCAGTACTGTATGCTTAGGAATGCAATCTAGGATGGCATTAGCTTGGTGACAAGTGCTTTATCTTATTACCAAGGACCTGATTGCCACAAGTTTTCATGGATTTGGTAGGTTGAATATTGTTGTTTTCATCCTCTTCAAATTTACATTTATTTATTTTGCATGTGACAGAGGGTACACTGCAAAATACTCTCTCTCTCTCTCTCTCTCTCTCTCTCTCTCTCTCTCTGTGTGTGTGTGTGTGTGTATGTTTGTGTGTTTATAGAAGTCAGAGGACAGCTTTCAGGAGAAATTGAGTCTTGTACTATGTAGGTCTCAGGGATCTAATATAGGTCATCTGGTTTGTGGAAAACATCTTTACCTTCTTAACCATCTCACCATTCCCTATTTATTTTTACTATTATTACTATTATTACTATTATTATTATTATTATTATTATTATTATTATTATTATTATTACATCACTGGGGATGGAATCCAGGGTCTATGCTACTGAGCTACAACTCTAGCCCCAAATATTGTTACTTATTGTTACTCTCATTCTAGGTATAAAGAAAGAACTGGCAGGCTCACAAAGAGGGTAAGTAGCAGCATTGGGAATGGCACAAGCCATCTGAATTCAAGGCTTACAAACTGAGTACTTCCCATTACTGAAACTTTTTCATTCATATATTCATCCCCCCTTCCTCCATCTATAGCCTTTCTCTATTTTCCTTCCATAATGTTTATTCACTAGCCTGTCTGCTCATTTAAGTTCTTTTACTCAGTATTCATCAGGCTTCTTTTATATTACAATCTTTTTTATTCTCAAGATAACAACAACAACAACAAAACACAACTTAGGCTTCCCCAGGCTTTGAAGGCAAATGGAGCATTGAGAATTGATATCTGAGCTGAGTTTGAGTTCCTCCCCATGAATATTCTCTCCACTCCAGAGAACCACAACTAGGAGAGAGAGAGAGAAAGAGAGAGAGAGAGAGAGAGAGAGAGAGAGAGAGAGAGAGAGAGTAGATTAGAGATAAACACAGAGAGGTTGAGGCAGAGATAGATTGATTTATCTTAAAGAATTTTCTTGAGTAACTACAGAGGCTGAAAATCCCCAAATGTACCATGTAGGTTGGCAAACTGAAAACCCACAAACTAGTTCATGTTCTGGAAAAACTTCCCTCTTGCTTGGTAATTGTTTTGTTCTATGCATGCCCTCAACTGATTGGATGAATCCCATATATATATTAGAAAGGGAAATCTGTGTTATCTAGATCTAGTCTATCTTTTCAAATGTTAGTCCAATCCCCAAACACCTCCACAAAATTTATGAACCTATTGGAGTTGGCTACAGTCAATCATCTCAGTATTTAAGTTGTAATAGTTCATTATTCCTGGAAATAAGATTACAGAATCACAAAGTTTCCTCCAGGTGTTTCTAGGAGTACTCAGAGAAAGTCTTGAATGTGTCTTGGAATGCATACAATCAAATTTTGCAACCTTGGCATCTTAGTGGAAGGGTACCAACAGAAACTACTGGAAGAGAGAGTGGTCTTTGTCCCAAGGCCTCCCAAAAGACATGGTTCTCCCACCGTTCTACCACAAAGCATTTATTTCTTGGAAGTTTCAACTTTGAACTCCTAAGGTACCAAAGTTGCCTTGAGCTCTGGGATGTTGAAGACAAATGTAGAAAGAGAGACAGTTCCATGCTTGGGGACTGTTTATCCCTTGGGTTTTGGGTAGTTCCACTTGCTGTCATCTCACAAGCTCTTGTCATGAAATCAGCTTTACTCATGTGGGTTTTTATCCAAAGGGACTGAAGGATTCATTTAAAACATATGACCAAGAACATCAAAAAGGCATGCTAGCCATATGGCAAGCCTGCCTTTGAAGCCTGTTATCTGTCCTTGGATAAAGTTAATTTACAATTTCTCCTCTTTCTGAAAACCCCTCTTTACCTGCAAGTTCATATTTTCATCTTGTTCTTTGTTAGGAAAGTGAAAGCAAGAACAAGGATGCCCATATTTTTTAACACTGGACCAATAAATTTATTTACCTTCTTTTACCTCTGTGTTAGTACCAAGTTATAAGGGACACTCCCAATGAATCATATTGCTGGTTTTTAAAGGAACATTTGATGCAGTTAGTGCCTTCCTGGTTCTTCAAATTACTTCTGGACAGCAAAGGAAACAATACCAGAGTGAAGAGACAGCCTACAGAAAGAGATAATCTTTGTCAGCATGTGTCTGAGGGGTTAATACAATACTTAGAATATATTAAAATTAAAAACATTAGATACCTACAAATCATATCATGTGATCAATGACAGACAGATCTCAGATTAATATGTACAAGTAGCCAAAAACATATGAAAAATGCTCAAGGAAATTTTCATGTCAGAGAAACTGACATCAAAACTACACTTGAGATTCCATCTTCTTCCAGTCAGAATGGCCATCATCAAGGAAACATACAAGAAGTGATGGTGAAGGTGTCGGGAAAAGAAACGCACATACACCGCCAGTTGGGTAGTAAATTAGTGCAGCCAGTATGGCAATCAGTATGGGGATTCCTCTAAGCATGAAAGTGGAGCTAACATACAATCCAGCTGTACTTGTCCTTGGTATCTATCTGTAGGACTTTAAATCCTTGGACCACAGAGATGCTTGTGTGTCAGTGTTTATTGCTGCACTAGTCACAAGATTGAAGACATGCTACCAGGCTAGATAGCCTTCAACAGATGAATGCATAAATAACATATAGGTTTATTCAACAGGGTTTTGTTTAGTCATCTGTAGGAAAATAGAAGTGGAGATCATTATGATAAACAAATTCACATGTTTTCTCTGATATGTGGACTCTATACTTCAAATGTATATGAGACAGAAGAGCAGAGGGAGAACTCTTTAGGAAGAGAAAGATGACAAGTAGAAGGATATGAGAAAGGACAATGGGTATTATGAGCAAAGTGCACAACAGACATGTATGAAAATTACATAGTGAGTGAAGTGCATCATATTGTACAACGAACCTAAGCTAACAATACTAATAGAAAACCCTTTCACATTTCTGTTGTCATGCCTCCATTCTTTTCTGTGTCCTCTATACAACTTCAATAAATAAAACCTCAATGTTTAGTCTCACATAATCTACTAAATTTATTTATAACCATACTTGTTAGGTGATATCACCTAGGCTCACAATATAGTTCAGATTTTACCTACAACTCAACTCAGACTTTTCTACTCGCACCAGGCTCATGATTTACATCCTAGAGGTGCTTCTTTAAGTCCCTTAGAAGCAGACTGGATTATATGTGCAGGGAGTTTCTTGGGGGAAAATATCTGAAATATAACAAGCAATCTAGGGGGTGGGAGCAGGCAAGATGAGCTTCCAGACTGCAAAGGGGGCCTGATGCCATGGAAGAGTCAGTGCAGGGGGGAAAGAGGAAGTGAGTTGGAAGAGTTTCAGACTGTAGCACAGTTCAAGAAAAATATCCGTGGCCCAGTTGCAGCCAAGGTCTGTGTTGATGTCCTTGAGTCCTGGTAGGACCAAAAGCAGTGAAGATAGAGCTGTACAGAATTGGTTTCTTCCCTTGCTGCATGCAGCATTAGGGAGAACTAGTCCCATCCCTCGGCAACTGCAGCACTCAGGAGAGCAGGCCTGCACCTCATCTGGGCAGCACAATCGAGATGACCCTGTTGGTGGGGGGCACAGGTGAGCTGGCCTGAGGGTGTGAGAGCAGGAGAGCTGCTCCCTCCCTCTTTTATGCCATGTGGGTAGCATGGGTGAGGGGATTACACCCTCCACCCACTCCTTGCCACCTGCAAGGAGCGAGAGCTGGCCTGGGGGGAATGAGAATAGAAGAGCTGGCCCTGCCCCCTTCCAACTGCAGTAATTGGGAAAGCAGGCCCTGGACCTCACCTAGGCAAAAGAGTAAAGCTGGCCCTGGTGGTGTGAATGCAGGTGAGCTGAACCTGAGGGCATGAAAGTGGGAAAACTGGCCCTGCTCCTTGAGGCCTGCCATACTGGGTGAGCTATCCAGGCCAGTGCTATTGAGCTCACCGGGTGGTGATGACTAGGGAAAGCTGACAGGCTGACCAACCCAGCTACCACACAGGTCCAGAACCAGGACTATGAGTTATCCCACCACAAAATCCACCTCATCTATGAACTGCTAGAGCATGTAAAGGAGGCAGACAGGCAGATCCAGAGGCAACAATAGGATATCCAAGAGGAGTCTCAGTGAGGGCCAGTATCGATAGTGTAGCAGAAGCCAGAGGCCTTGAACCAGATCAGTGACATATTGAAATGAACACTTACATTGTTTTGCTTTGGAGGGGGGTGTTGTAAGGGCAAAAGGTGGAAGTGAGGGGACAAGGAGATGAATGGGATCTGGGTGCATGATATAAAATCCACAAAGGATCAATGCAAAGTTGAAAGAAAATATTCATGTCTGTGCTAATGAGCCCCTTAGCCCAAGTTACCTGTTAGAGGACTCCCTGTCTTGTAAGAATGAGTCTGTGGAGCAATCAGGGTCCCGCAGCAGACTGTCAGGAATGTGGTCTCATTGTGAAGCATAGAATCTTATCTCATAAATCTATTTTGCTTCCTACAGCAAAAGATCTTAGTGACACATTTTCATGTCCTCAATATTAGTTAATCCCTGCTATTGACCATCTGACAGACATGCCAAACTGAAAACAATAGAACTCTATTGTCCATATCATGTAGGTGCTCTTGAGTTTGTTCTACCTTGGAAAATGTCCTATCTTTCCTTAAGATGCTACATCCAAGAGCATGGAACTCATTCTAGAGTTTTCTTCCTACTACCTATGGTGAGTCCCGCTGGCCTTACCTCATAAAGCTCAAAGCCATTTACTTTTCTCCATTTTCACCATCAACATCTTATCCCAAGAGGGCTCTCATGTGCCCTCTTCATTGGCATCTCCATTGTCACTCTTGTCAACTTCCAGCTACCTTTGTAACACCTTCATAAAGTCACTTAGAACCCCTTCTATCCAGCAGCCTTTCATTGTAAACCTCCTAAACCCTGAGCACATTAGCATACCCCAACTGTGTCTTTTCATTCCATGAATATAAGCACTATGAGAATAGAGACCTTGTCTGTTATGTTTAATATACTTTCCCTGTTGTCCAACATAGACCTAGAATTGACAGTAAGAGCATATTGCCCATTTGTTGACTGCTTAATGGGTGAATCTCTTCACAAGACCTCAGAACTGAACTATCATGTGCTATTGGTGGCTATGTTATAAATATGTTTGCAGCACTTAATGGTGGCTTTGCCAAATTGTTCTCACTTTTTGTGGACCAAGAAATTCAGAGGTAGTCAGCCAGTGCAAGCATGTCTGGGCTTCCACAATGGTGTCCAGAAGAGGCTCCTTTGTGCTTCCTTGAGTGCTCCAAGCTCCCTAGTGGATGACTTCCATCCAGATGCATTTGTTTTTTTCATGGTCACAAGATGGCTGCTCTGCCATCCATACAGCTAGCATCTGTGCTCCAGGCAGGAAAAATGGAGATGCCAAAGACAGATGTTGTAAATTGAATGAGTGTTCCTCTTTCAAGAGCTGTAGTGAGTTGGCTTCCTCGGGATTCAGACTCTACAAAGATTAGTATGTAGAAGGGCAGTGCACTTAAGATGAAGATCCATAGAAGGGAGGGGAAGAAGTGGGGTTGTACGGGGGTGAGGTGGGGAGGAATAGGGCCATGAAGCCATCCCCAATATCATTCGAGCTCTAGAGTTTGGGTGGTCAGCTATAATATATACTCCATACTGACAGGTCATTGGAATCCAGTAAGAAGGTCATTTCTCTTGTAGAGGCAACCATATAGGTGTTAACTCCCAAAGGCTGTCTGTCTGTCAGTATGCTCATCAGTTGAGGCAACAAACCATTCATTCCTCAACCTCAGCATCACAGATGCACCATACAGGCTTTCCTGAAGACCTCACATACCAGGATTTACTTGTATCTTAATGATCGGAGCCATGACATGCAGCTTTCTTTAGTTACAAGACAGCTGGGATGTGTGGATTTTTAGCTGGGCATGTTGCCACTCAGAATACAACAAAGGTTCCATTAATAAGAAAAAGGTAGAATGTTTAGGGCATTTAGGTGGGCCACTAGTAGTCTTTGGCAGAAAGCCTGTTCTTCACTTCCTTGTCTCTTTTCTCTCTTGACTCTCCTAGTGCCTTAGCATTGAAGTAAATTAAGCAGGCAAACAAAGCAAACACATAAACAAAACAAACATGAATAAACCTCCACCCTCCTTCATTAGCCAATAAATCAAAGCTTATGAAAATCTCATTACAAAAGCAGATACAAATCCATGCATACATATAGCTCTTGTGCAGAAGATGGCTACCACCATGCTCAGCATATTTTGGTCTTCATTGGGCCTAAAGGAGCCAATGTAGACATGTAGACCTTACCCTTTGGAACTCTCATACAGAATAAGGAAACAAACTAATATAAAATAGACTGATATAAAAGATCTAGCTGGGAGAGGGGACTCTAAGCAAAGGGGACTAAAGAGCATAAGTACTCCGGTCTCTGGCAAAGATTCATGGAAGCCTGGAGAAGCAAAGAAGTACTGGAGATACCATATGGAAGTGAAAGCACTAGATATTTTCTAGGAGCTGGTTGGGAAGGGAAATAGTGACTCTGAGCTTGAGGACTGGGCATTGAGAAGTCAGAATCTAAGTATGAGAGAGGCAGCTTGAGGTACAAGGTCAGTTCATTGCAGCAAAAAAAAATAGTTATGACAAAGAAGCCATAGTCCTTTAACTGGCTCTTGGCTCTCATTGCCCAGCCTAAAGGTGCTCTGCTAAGCAGTCCTCCATGTTGAGGTAAATATGGCCTCTGACAGAACTGATGGAGAGAGAGTAAGCGAGGAGGCCTGGAGCCAGTGACAGGTGAGCAATGCCTATGAATGAATTTCCATAAGCAGCCCTTTCATAATTGTCTAGACAGGAAATGGAGAAGAGTGCTCAGTGGAAACATCAATTGTGCCCACACAGCCAGCTGCTCTGCTAACATGAAAGCTGCAGCAGTCAGAGACACTTAAAGCAGACATGGTAGGGCAGAAATTGTAGTGTGTCTGAGTCACAGCTGGAGCATTGGCCAAAGGCAAGGCCATACTTCTCTAAGGTTGCTTACCTCATCTTTCTCATGAGATGCAGGGGATCCTGTCACCTGCCTCTTTTATCTTCTTCATCCTTTCATGAAAACACCTGATGGTATTATGGGCTTTCTCTCTCTTGTTCAGTGAGGATGCATACTCAAAGGAAGTAGGTCCCACTCCTCTGCTCACAAGGCAGACACCTAGTGATTCCTGTGTGTTCACTGACCTGGCTCCATTCCCTTTCTGGTGATATGGGTATATGATTTAATTCTGACCAATCCTAGGACAAGACAGATGTTTGCAAGGCTTCTGAAAAAGAGTTAGACATTAAAAATGAGGAGTATTGATTTCAAACCTCTCTTATCTTCTGTCTGACTTTGTATTATCTGCAGATGAATTTCATTCTTGCCTCCATAAGACAATCTGGTCAAGGAGAAGACAATACACCAAGAACATATAAGAAAAGATAGAAGGAAATGAAACATGGACAGCAGATATGAACCACTGATTAACCAACCCCAGAATTATTCCACTTTGAAACTCCTTATTACATAGGAAAACAAATATTTTGTCATTTGCATAAAGTGCATGGAGATTTTTCTGTCATTTGCAGCTACAGTAAATCCAGTTTATAAGGAATTCCTGACAAATTAGGGTCAAACACGATGGTATGAGAAAGTACCAACATGAATGGCCAATACACTAGGTCATGGTTCTATATTATGAATTTATATTTTCACACCCACACCCACACCCCCCCACACCACTAGAGTTTCATTTTGTTACAATTTCTTTCGTAATTCCACTATGCATGTAAAAAAATAACTTGAACATTTTCTAATCTTTGGCTCTGTCTGAGGGTCATCACCAATCTGGGCAGTTATCCAGCCAATTCAGTATTTGACCTGCTCCCTAATAACTTCCAACTGTTGGCCCAGAAGTACCCTCCAGAGCATGCATCCCTGCCAGAACCTACAGTGTGGGGCTTGGAACATAAAGACAGAGCCTTCAATTTTTGGCCTAAGAGTTATTCTTCCAGGAAAGGACCAAGGCATCTTAAAAAGTAACATGCCTTTGTAGAAAATGTAGTTTAGGAAAATTGGGATTTGCTTTGCTTAGAAATTGGTTTCATGTCCATATTAGGGATCTCGAAAAGCAGCCCTGAATTTACAAGTTCAAGAATCTCACATTACTTGTCCAACTTGGAAATTAGTGCATGGATTTCAGATGAAACAATTGGACAACACAAAAGCAATGCACAGTATAAATATTCTTATTTCCTAACTACTTGTCAGCTATTTCCAGTGAGTAAATATTTACACGTTTTCTTCTCCCTCTGTGGAAAGCAGTACTCACATATATGGACATAAATATTTTGGTGTATGTAAATATTTACTTGCACGAGCAATATATTTCTTTTTCCAGTCTCCCTCGTAAGTTCTTTAATAACAGAACAATTCCTGCTTACAAATAAGTTCTGATCTTGCAACCCTCCTGGAATGTTGTACAAAATAGAGACATTTTATGAGGATGGTGGATTGCTGCTTAGCCAGAACGGCTGGTCTCAAGTTAAAACTTGGCCTTCTAGTATCTGTGCGACCAGAGCAAGTTGTTTAGTCCTTCTGAGCCCTGAATTTATCCATTGGTAAGTGAGGATAACAGTAGCATCTACTCTGTAGCATTGCTGAGAAGATGCAATGATTTTGTGTATATAAAGTGCTTCCGACACAATCTAGCATATTGTCAACCTTAATAAATAATATTAAAATATTTTACTGTTGTCAGTCACTGGAAATAAGTATATCACTCTTTTCTAGATGGTATTGTGGATACATCTTAATTTTATCTAAGTACCCCTTTTATATCATTCAAAAAATTCAAATGCTAACAATAAGAGCAAATTGCTTTAGACTGGCTTTTGATTATTTTCTACTCTCCACCGGTGAGTGGCTATCATTTCTAAGCATTTACTTTGTATCAGGCATTTTGTGCCTCCAAAGATAATGTTGTATTTTGTCATTACAGTAACCTTATGATGGAAATAATATCTATGTCTTCATTTCTCAACTTGAGATTGAGGTTTAGTGTTGATAATTAATGTGTCTTCAGTTAAATAATGTAGGGTTGGGATTTGAACCCAGGTACTTTGAATGTGAAAGATCTTAAATCACTATGCCATTGTAGTGTTCCCAATGTTTGCACAGAAACATTCCATACAGGAAGGATCAGAGTCAGTCAGCCTCTTCCTATTTTTTCCCTACTTTTTCCTGCCCTGCCTGTCATGAAAATGGATTAAACTCGATTCTACCTTCTGTTCCCTGGGGGTAAATCAGCAAACCAACATGTCCCACTTAAAGCCTTATGAGGGGCCATATTATAAAATGTGGTAGATTGGATAGGAATTTTAGCTTGGATTCTTTTTCATTACTCTTGTCTAGGTACAGAGTCTCCCTGCTCTGTCTCTAGTATTGCATTCATGTTGTCCAACTCCTCCAGAAGGTATGTTGAATTGAAACCTTGGGTTACAAATATATGGTTCCTGTTATCAGGACACCCCCAGGGACATCATCAAAATGGCTTTCCTTGTTACATGAGATTATCACATCCTTCAGCCATACTGTTTCTTATTTAAAGCCTTCTCTTGTGCTTGATTGCCAGGCCTCTCAACAATCATCAGACAAAGGTCAATGGTATTTTTTCAGTTCCCCAGGATCTTGTAACATCTTTATCTATAGTGTTATAACATAGAGATCAGAAAAATTTTGCTTCCACTGCCTATTCTATCACATACCCATCAAAACTGATAACTAGATAGACTGGAGTCCACTTCCTTCTAGCAGTCATGGGCAGTCTACCTGGCCATGTCAACTGGTTTAGGCAGATGGGCTCGGCCTCTCTTTCATTGTTCAATCCTCTCAGGATTGTAGCACATTGCCAGAAGCCTTGTTCTAAAGACATCTTCAAAATGCAGTTTTTAGCTTGTCAATATGCCCATGTAGAGCGTAAGAAAAGCAAATCCAATTACCCAACAGAATTCTCTCACACAGAGCTGCTCTGAATCATATTTACGAAATTTAGGTGAAGAACATGCCTTCTTATTCTCTTGGGCTCTCTCTCTTAGATGAAACCCACATTCCAGTTTGTGAACCAATTAGAAAAGATGACTGATTGCTTCAGAAAGGATTTCGGAGCATCTGCTGCCATGAATTCAGTATGGAAAACATAGAAAGAGGGTTTGGTTCAAGTTCATGAAAAGTGTTCAGCCCTTACAGGCAAACGAATGGGAATGTAAATGATGGAATCTAGAGTGAGAAATGGTGAAACTGATGTGTGTTTAGTATTCTATGGGAGCTGAGAAGAGCATTAAATAGAAAGGTTTGTAACCATGCTAAGAGAACTGAACTGTATTGGTTACTTTCTGTGACAAAAATACCTTACAGAAGCAACTTAGAGATGAGAGGCTTATTTTGGCTTACAGTATCAGAGTATGCAGTCCATCATGGGATAGCATGGCAGGGTGGTTCAGTCTGTGACAACAGGTGCTTATGGCATGTTCACAACATGATGAAACAGTAAGCAGAGAACAAGGCTGGAAGTGGGGTTGGGCCATACATAATCCTCAAGGCCCTCTTCTAGTGACCCATTTCTGCCAGCAAGCCCTATCTTCTAAGGTTCCACAACCTCCCCAAATAGCACCATCAGTTGGGGACCAAATGTTCAAACACAGGTTTATGGCAGCATTTTATATTAAAACCATAACAAGGATGATAGAGAGAGATAAAGGGGAGAACAGAGAGATTAGGTTTAAGGCTGGCATGAAACATTACCTCACCTTTCTACTGCTGCCATACAAATGACCCGAAATGTGTTGGCTTGAAACAGCATTTTATTTGCTAATCCTTCTCCAGTCAGGGCTGAGATCAGCTGGGTGACTCTTCTGCTGGCCTTTCTGGTAATCCCTCTTGTGGCTAAATTCAGCTGGCAGTTGGGCTGGCTGGAGACTGGATTGAGCTAAGCTTTTCTCTCTCCACGTGGTTTCGGAGTCTTTGCCTCGCCACATAGTTATGTCATGTGTTCTGTCTAGCACAGCAGCCAGACTTCTTACATGGTGACTCAGGATCCTGAGAACACAAGAGCAGAAGCTGTCAGGCGGCCTCATGTGTTAGGCCTAGAACTGTCCAATTGCCACTATCACTGCAATCTGTTGATTAAACATAGCTGTGGAACCAGCCCAGATTTAAAGGGAGGGACGTGACTAGAGCTTGACTATCAGGAGGCTGGGTTCACTGGGGCAGACATATGGTGGACCAGCTAAATGAAACTGGGAGAGGCACTGCAGAAAAGAAGAAATGTAAGCAAAGACATAGAAGCATGTCAACCCATGGCTTTGGGGAAGAAAGTTATGTGCTTCAGCACTATAGATGTGAGGGTTGCATGGGGACATGGACAGGCACAGTGACATCAACTGCTTGCTTCTCTTAACTATGGTCTCTGTGGGGTCCTTTATTTGGACTCATCTTTTTTCTGTTGACTTTTTGTCTGGGAGTGCTTGATTTTTTGGAGCTCCCATGTGATCCAGCTCTTCTTTGATATACTAGGCTTTGGTCATTATGACAAGATATTTGAGGTAATCAACTCAAAATGAGGGAAGATATATTTTAGAATACTGTTTCAGATAGACATGTCCAATCTGGGGGCCCACAGGCCACATGTGCCCCGAAACAGCTGTGAGTGTTGCCCAATACATTTGTAGATGATACCTTACCACAATGTCAAAAGGTTAGACATCCCCAGTTGTAGAGATTTCAGCCAATGTTGGGTGGGTCTCCTTGCTTTGGGACTGTGGCCAGACAGAGCAGCATGGGGGAGGGAGCAGCATGTATTAAAGCAGTGCTCATGAACGTTGATAAGCAGGGGTGGGTGGAGGCTGGAGTTACAGTATCTCCTCGAAGGTCATGACCTCAATGACATAACTTCTTCCCACTAGGCCCCACATTCTAAAGATTCCAACACTTCCCAATAGCACCACAGACTAGTGAACAAGCCATCAATGTAAGAGCCTTGAGTAGACATTGAAGATCCAAACTCTAACAGTGGATCATAAGACTCTAAAGGTTATATCAGTGTTATTGTCTGGTCACCAAAGACATTTTCTGTTTTGCCTGGTCACTAAGACAGTCTGCCATTATTAACTTCTTTTGCAGTTAAATGTGGCCGTGACAATTAAGTTCTAGTGGAATGGTGATATGCAGTAGCACAAGACATTGTCTACATTCTGATGTTTGATCTTCCATATTTTCCCCCTCTCAAGTTGACTGAAAATAGAGAACTCCAGAAAGAATTTCATGATGATGATGACAATGGCATACAATGGACGGCATCTGGGTTCTCGAATCACTGAATACGGAGATGGAGTCAAAACAATTAGGTTCATGGTGCCTGCTTGTCACATAGAATGAAACATTTTTATTATAAGCCCAGAGCTGTGAGGGTCTGTAAGTTACTGCAGCCAGCCTTCCCTTAACTAACATAATTAGGAACTGAGGAGGCAGAGAACTTATTAGCATCACCCTGAGGAGCTAGGAGATATGTGAGGGAGGAGGTTGAGAAGAGGGGAGATCGGTAATTGAGGCTTAAGTAGGGCCATCCAAGTATGGGAAGAATTCTTTGAATGAGGTTATGATAATCTTCCTTTCCATGAGGCCACATTTACCTGGAGGAGAATCTGGAACCTGCTGCAGGTGGACTCATTGACATATTCCCGTCTGAAACTGTATTGTACTTTTAGTTTTTTCAAGGGCCTTTGATAGCTTTGTAGCCTTGGAAACCCTCCATGAGAGTGTATTCACAGGAAAACAATGCAGTAGCTTTTTGGACAAGGGACCAGGATTTCATATTAATATAAAACACTGTGTATTTTGTTCACTGTCATAATTTGGTTCTAAACAACCTCTCAACGTTTCATGGACAGAACTGTTTTTTTTTTTTCCTAAGTGGAAAAACAGAGGCTGATTTGACATGAAAGATCTTACAGTTGAGTGCAAGAGACCTGGGGTCCACATCTTCTAATTCTAGGCCATTTGTAAAGAAAATATACAGAACCTGCTGAGGCCACGCCCATTTTCTACAGAGCCACCCTGGGTTCAAAGCTTCTGATCGGATAGCTCTTGAGGGCACTACATCTCCTCCCCTTCAAGGACCTGTGTCTCTCAGCTTGTCCACTTGAGGGCTGGTTCCAGCATCCTGGAAGCTCACTTAGCTCAACGCCATCATGATTTGGAAATGCAAGGAAGGATATAGGTCAGGAGCAACCCAATTGCAATGGAGGACAAGATAGAAATAAATATTGTTCTTCAGAGGCTTCCCAAGAGAACAAATGCCTGAGCCCCAGCAAATGTCTGCAGCTACTTAGTGCACCCCAAAGTGACTCTTCTTTTTGACCTGGCTCAATCTCCAAGCAACCTCACCTCTGCTTTACAGGCTCATCTCCCAAAGCTAACTGGCTGAATTTGTGCCTGGTTTGAGCCTGTCTCGGGCAGTTCCCTTGGACTAGGGGGAGTAAGAAGCATGGGGTTAGGGAGAGGCAGCTGTTTTTCTTTTGCTCTCTCTGAACTTGCCTCAGACAACTTGTCCTAGCAGTGAGGAAGGTTAATGGCCATGTGATGTTCTTACCAGACATGGAGAGTCAGTCAGTCTCTGCCCTATCCCAGGCGTTGGTGGCCCCTGACAATTTGGGCTCTTCTATGCATTGGTGACTTTGCTCGGCTGCCCAGCTGGCACCAGGAATGACAACGAGCAGCTTTGGTTCCAAACAGCAGCAGATGCTGCCAGCACACCAACTTCTGCCAGCAAATCAGGGGTGGGGAATCGGCAGGGGAGTGCAATCGCTTGCTCCGGCTGCCACAGTCCCCGGTGTCCCTTGTATCCTCTAGTCACCAGGGAGGCCAGGGTGATAGAGATGTTATCTCAGCAGTAACTGCTTGTTGAGACAAGTTTAGTATGGCATGGTGCCATGGGGAGGAGCAGGGGGGACTTTCACCAGATGCCAAAGGGTCCATAGGCCCAGGTCTGATATGCTGGACCTCTGTGGCCAGTTATGCAAAAATGCCACCTGTGGGCTCTCTCTTAGACCAGCTGTGTTCATTTATTCTAAAATCCATTCGTTCATCCTCATAGTGATGCTCCTTATGTGTCTGGCACTGTGCTATGAATTGGCTATGCAACAAGGAACAATGGCAATATGATCTTCCCCTCCTTGGAATTTATAATATGGACAGAGATAGATCTTGATAAAAAATCTTTGTTATTTTTGAGACAATGCTCTCAATGTAGCCCTGGATAGCTTGGAACTTGCTATGTAGATCAGGATGGCCTCAAACTCACAGAGATCTGCTTGTTTCTGCCTCCCAACTGCTGTGATTAAGGCATGTGCCACCCATACCTGTCTTGATTAAACCTTAAACTTCTGTAGTTAATATGGCAGCAGGTAGCTTTCCTCTTACTTTAGCTGAATTGCAACACTGTACCCAAGACAGTGTGTTGTTGAGCATTATTACAAGTGTTGACTTGCACTTGCCATTCTAACATTTGGGAGATAAAGGCTGGACGAACAAGAGTACAGTGTAGGATCATCCTCAGGTGCATAATGAATTCAAGGCTAGCCTGGGCTACATAAGACCCCACAACAAAACAAAAACAAAGTCAAACAAAACAGACAGTGTTCTTTAGTGTGGTACAAGCTCCAGAGTTATGAAGACACAGCCTGTGCTCATCAATAAGAATACAACATGCAGAAATTCTGTCAGCTAGCCAGTGTTCAGCAGTTCTTCTCTATAGGCCAATAAGACAGGGGTCAACCTGTGGTGACTCAGAGAAAGACCAGGGGTATTTTTCACGGGGAGGTGGGAGTGGTGCTTTGCTTCCTTAAGTTCACCTTATCACAGTCTGGCATTCCCGAGTACAAGCAAGCAGAGTTCTGCAGGTGCACTTTCCCTCTCTGGAGGGAGGCCAGAAGGCATGGTGTGGGGTACCTAATTCCTTCAGCATCTTCCGTGTGTTTCTTGCCTGAACTGCCATGGATCCCAGAGTGCTGGGCTTGGGGCTTGGGCTTCCTGCTTGTCTAGGAAAGGGCCAGATCCCAGCTTCAGTCATTGTTGGTCTCCAGGGCTACTCCAGCTCTGGTTCTTGTAGATACTATTTGGAGCAGCTCCCAAGCCATTAAAGCCTTGCTCCTGGGGAACTCCACAGCTGTGGGAGAGGAGGAGGAGAGGGGTGGAACAGCCAGTTCAGATTCACTTCAAAGCAGAAGTGGAACAATCCCCGTTACATTATTAATCCCTGGAGCCATGTAAAGTTTCATCTGTTTTCTCTCAACGAGTTTTTACAAGCTATATTTCCTAAAAGCTGCAAGACCTACAACCAAATGGTATCTTTCACGTGTGTGTGTGTGTGTGTGTGTGTGTGTGTGTGTGTGTGTGTGTGTGTGTGTGTGAAAACCTTGGGATAACTCCTACAGGGCCAGGGATGGGACCGCAGGTTCTAATCTTGCTATCCACACAACAAGCCAGGTGTGTGAAAATAGGTAAGCCACGTTTCCTCTCTGGGCTGCCATATCTGTATTGGTTAGCTGTGACATGTAAAAATAATATTCAAAGTATCAGCAATATACAACAGTAACAAATGGTGCCACACATCTGGGCTAGCCAGGATGGGGCTGACAGAGCCTGGGTTTCAGGCCTTTGGCTTCAGATCAGGGGGCTTGGTTACAACAATTTTGCTCCACCTGTGCCTCTTCATGCTCGTCCTCAAACCAACAGGGCAGGCAGGTATTGTGGGTTAAATGTCCAGTCCTTTCCTCAATACACATGCTAGACACCGCATCTCCTGAGCAGCCGAGCTGGGAGCTGGGAGCCCTCTGGGGAGTGTGTAGCTTCCAAGGCCCTGTTTTCATGAGTGGACTGCCTCATGTTGCTCTGGGAAGTGCTCATGATTACACTGTTTTCCACTGTCTGCCATACGAGGTCAATTTGCCTCCCTTGCCTTCCTTGCTTCTGTCATGACAGAAGCATGCAGCAGAGGTTAGGGTCTCCATCTTGAACTTCTCAGTTTTCAGAGCTACCAGAGAAATAGATCCTTGTTTTTTCTATATGACCCAGTCTGAGGTATTCTGTTACATCAACACAAATGGTCTAAGAGAACTGTCCTAAGTAACATCAGAGGCACCATAAGAAGCTGAAAAGGCCCGAGGCCCTGCCATCGACAAAAGGAAGTTAGATGGCCACACCTCACCTGAAAGGCAGGGGAATATACTCCGCCTACGATGCACCTTCAACACAAAGTGGGGTGAAGGATATGGAACCATGAGGCAATTGGCCATAGTCTCCTCACCTACAACCCAAGGAAATCACCAGGTCACAAGTTCCCCTGGTACCTCCTGGCTTAAGTATTCTGTGAGGACAAATAGCGACCTGGAAGCACAGAAGCAGAAACCATGTCAGTGAGTGACAGCCAGCAAGCAGCCAGTCTGTTCTGCCTTTATAAAATGTCTCTGACCGGAAGAGCAAATGGCAGCCAATGACAAAGCTGCAGCTCTTGCAAACTACCAGCCTTCCCCACATAGGGCAACTGCCTTGCACAAGCTCGGCATATGTGGACAATGACAGAAAAATGCAGGGGAACTTTTCTCTGAATGCCTACACCTGTCCTGGCCTCCCTTGTGCCAAGAAGGTGAGTGAACCTGCCACAGAGGTTGAATGCTCCGAGCTTCCTCTCTGTGTACATGTTTGCTGCGTTGGAGGCAAAAGGAGCGGCTTCCTGCCAGAGAATATGCAATTAAAAAAAAAAAACAAATTATATCAGCAGGACTCTCTTTGCTGGAAGTGTGAACTTGATAGAAATCAGAAATGCAAATGGTATTCAAGTGCGGTTAAAACTTCCGCTTTCCAAAAGGGGGAAAATTAATTGCTTTTATACTTACCGTAGTGATAAGCCGGAGGCACATGCTATACACAGGGAACGGCATCCAGAAACCTTCCAAAAGGAGGAGGGAAAGGAGGCAATAAATCTCCCCTAGAATGCCTCATGTTCCTCGCTGCAGATGTGCACGGCATGTAATTTTCTAGCCATGCAGTTCAGGGACCTGCCAAAGAGTTCCAATTCCAACTGACTTGCGGGAGGAAGGTTTGGGAAGGTTTGGAAGAATATTAAGACATGACAAAAGAAGAGCCGAGGTAGAGGGTAGTCGCCAGGACCCCTTCTTTACTAGGGAAAGGTGCTAGCTTATGGTTTTTAGTTGCCAGGATATTTAAAGCCTCTCTACTTTCTAAAATGCATGTTCTTGTGAAAATGCCTCAAATCCCTAAATGTGAGCCACTTCACCTCCTCCCCCCCAAAGGTAGGCCTTGTAGGAAATGGCCAGGGATATGGAACAGGAGGCCTCTCTCAAATGCAAAGACAGATTGTCCTGGGACAGTCCATGTTTAGTTTTGTTTCTCTGATATGTAGTTTTCTAAGGAGGCAATCCCACTGGCTCGCAAAAGTGTCTCAGTGGTATATATTTGAACAAACTGTTTGCAAGCATCTACTGAGAGTTAAGACACATGCTCCCCCTTAATCTAGCTATTCTACTCCTACGCCTCTCCTCAACCGAAATGCATGCCCAGGTTTGCTAAGAGAACACATATAAAAATAGTCATAATAGTAAAAAAGAAAAAACAGAAGAAAACCTGGAAACAATTCAAACACCTATCTGCAGGAGAAGAGATAAATAAGGCATGTCATATTCACACAATGGAACAGGATCAGCAATGGGAACCAACAACCTCCAATTAGACACAATGATACAGATGACTCTCACAAACAGTCTTGATCGAGAGCAGTCAGACGTGAAAGAGTATGTACTCTGTGACTCCACTGATGCAGCATTCTGAATCCAGTAAAGTTAGCAGACACTGTTAGAAGGCAGAATGTGGGCCACTGTTGGCCATAAGCAGTAAAAGAATGAGAATGCAAGGCGGTTTCTGGGATCGCACTGCTTACCCATTGAATCTGAAGTGTCCCCCAAAGGCCTCTGTTATGTCTGGTCCACAGCTGGTAGTGCTAATTTGCAGATGCTCTGGAAACTTTAGTTGGTGGGGCCCAGCTAGAAGAAGCAGGTCCCTGATGACTTTTCTTTGGAGGTCCCTTCCCCACTCTCTGCTTCTTGCCTGCTACGAGGGGAAGCAGCTCCTTAGTCACATACTTCTATGGTTATACTCCTCAAGTGTAGGTGGGCAGGCAACCATGGACAGAACCTCTTGGAACTGTATGGCAAAATAAGTAATTTTCCTTTGTTCTGTTTCTCTTGCGTGTTTTGTCACTGCAAAGAGAGAGCGGGTCTACTACAAGTTCTTGGTCTAGGTGCTGGGAGGTCAAATGTGTTGAGTTTGTGAATTCTTAGGAAACTGTACATTGTGATGTATGCATTTTTCTGACCCTTCATCTCAATCTGGTAAAAACGGTAAAAAAGATATGGCCACAGAGCACCTCTCAGCCTCACCAGCCAGATCCCTTTCCCATTCGTGGCTTTGTATCTGTTTGGTACCTTGACTTGGGCAGGAGACACATCACTGTCCAACACTTGTGTGCATCTTTCTTCCCGTCCTAGAATGACTAAGATTCCATGAGCTCCTGAGGGTAGAATTCTCCTGGTTTGCAGTACCCTAAGGAGAAAGAGTGCCTTCTCGCTGTGAACAAGGCCCTGGAGTCAGACCCCAGCACCACAAGAAAATAAGAGAAGGGAAATCAGTCTCTGTCTGTCTCTGTCTCTCTGTCTGTCTCTATCTCTGTATCTCTGTATCTCTCTCTTTCTCTCTCTCTCTCTCTTTCTCTCTCTCTCTCTCTCTCTCTCTCTCTCTCTCTCTCTCTCTCTCTCTCTCTCTCTGTGTGTGTGTGTGTGTGTGTGTGTACCTCCACACTCTGCTATGGGACATACAGCAAGAAGCAACCATCTGTGAATCTGAAAAAGTGCCCTCACCAAGAACCTTACAAAATTGGCACCCTGATCTTGACTGTCCAGATTCTAGAAGCATGAGAAATCAATATATTTTCTTTAGCGATCCATGATCATTTGCTACAGTGGCCTGAACTTGCTTGCCCAGCTGAGGGTGGCCCACCTTTAAAGCCAGTCCTCATAGAGCTCTCCAGATACTGGCTGTCTTTGATCTCTTCAAGTTATAGTAAGTCTGCTTTCAGATGCAAAACCCAAATCAAGGCTGCTACTCAGGTTCTGGCTTTCGCTCAGTGTTTGGTTGCAGAAGCTTTCACAATGCCTTCAGTTTCCTTCCTGATCTGAGTTCTACAGAGACTTATCAGTGGTTTATACATCAAAGTAGGCCAACTTGGGCACAGAATCATTTCCCAAGGCACATGCATACTCTTTCTTTCATAACCATCACAACATGGCTGTCTGTCACCATCCAGAAGCCATTCAGTTAGCATCCCCCCACCCATGGACCTGTGCACATTTTCGATTGTCTCACTAAGAGCCCATGAACCCCTAAAGGCAGGATGTGGGTCTGACTTGAAGCCCTGGCCTTTCCCATCCTTGCTCTTCTCACAGTTATTTCCCCCTCTTCTTTCCTGGGCTATGTTCTGCCAATCAGCATTGTCTCGAATACATTCTAGATAATTCTTCTCTCCCAGTTCTGCCGTGTCCCTTCAAATACCCATCAGTTTATAGCTACACCCCATCTCATCTTAAGGGTGAATGAACATAATACCACAAATAATCCACCAGTCAGACAGTCTCAGCAGAGTGTCATGCTCTAACCAGGAACTTCTAGATTTCATTCCCTCAGATCCCCATGTCCTTTTTAAGAAAAAAAAAAACCAACAATTTCAAGTGTATGTGAAATTTTTAAAAGTCAATCTTAAAGAAAGAGAGAGGAGACAGATAGCTACTAAAGGCTAGGAGGAAGAGGGTGTAGGGAATGAAAAGATGTTGATGAAAGGGTACAAAGTTTTAGTCAAACTGAAGGAATAGTTTTTGGTGATCTGTCACATTGCATCATGACTACAGTTAATAAAAACATTGTATATTTCAAAATTATTCAAAGAGATATTTGACATTCTCATCACAAAAGACAATAAATTGGAGAGGTGATAGATATGTTAATTAGCTTGCTTTACTCACTTTATACTACAGACATAGATCAAAGCATCACATTGTATCCTATAAACATAAAGATTATCTGTCATTTAATAATTAATAAAAATGAGATACTTTAACAAGGTTTAAGGTTATCAAAGTTTAAGGTTCTATTTCAGAGATAAAAATAGTCCTAAATGTGGAGATACTAGCTAAATATCTATCAAATATATTTTACTTTAGTCCTGGATGCTAACCTAGACTACATTTCCTAGCTGCTCTTAGGTAAAGTGTGGACATTTAACTGACTTGTGACTGATTAGTTATAGCCAAATGTGATGTAAAATACTTCCAGGTTTGGCTTATACTTACTTCCCACATGGGTTTTGGATCCCTTTCTCCCATTGCCCACCCCTGCTAGTTAAAAGTTAATGTATAAAGTGATGTTGAAAGACTAACTAGTCTCTGCATGGTTGTCCACTAGGGATACCAGAGAAGTCTAAATCAAAATTCTATGCCCATGTCTCATTCGTAGGCAATGAGATTAGAATTCCTACTGTTAAAGAGACAGAATTTCCTATCGGTTTGAAACCCTCAATGAGGATGTAAAGCTAAGTCCCTTCTGCCATATTATGGTTTGAATCTGAAATGCCTCCCACAGGCTCATGTGCCGAATGTTTGGTCCCCAACTGGTTGGTGATGCTACCTTGGTAGACACTGGAAACTTTGGGAGTTAGGATCTTGTGGGAGGAACTAGGTTATTGGAGTCTTTGAAGGTTATACAAGGCCCCCAGTACCTTCCCCCCACATCTGCCTTCTGATTGACATGAGTTGAAAGCCTCTTCCACCCACATTCATGCCACCAAGAAGTTCTTCCCAAGAGCATGCAGTCAAACAACCATGAACTAATAACTGTACTGTACTGCTCTGTTCTTGCCAATAGACTACTCATACTGTAACTAGTTCGTGCCTGACAAGAGACTGTTGGTAGGAAGCGAGTTATGAGGTTTACAGCAGGACAAAGAACACGGACCTCTATCTGAGCATCTAGGGAATGCTCGGGGATGCAGGCTTTAGTGGTGTGGTGACGAACAAAAAAAAATGCAGAAGAGTAGCTCAAGAGCTATGTCAGTGTGGTCTGAGAGAGTGGGTGGGAGTGCATGCGATGGGAATTTGTTTGGGTGGGCTGATGTACACCACGTGCAGACTAAATCTGGAATCCTTCTGACTTCAGAGTCTGATCCCTTGGGTTGTAGTATCTTTCAACTGGAAAACAAAATCTTGGATTAACGTGGCCCTGCTCCTCTGTGTGGAGAAATGTTTCACTTGAGTGATAGAACTTGGCTTGCTACAAAGGTTTTGCGTTCTTGTGGTTTAAACAACAATCACTGTTTAAGGATAACTACAAGGGAAGCCTATCAACTGGATGCCATTGGCTTATCTAGTGACTTTTCCTTCACAGTAGCCATCACCTTCTTTTCTTGTTTTCTTCCTTGCTAGCTCCAGTTCCCTCCTTACCTGCCCTTTTCCTGTGAATGTCTCCCTTACTCGCCTTCTTCCCCGTATCTCTCCTTGACCTTCCCCTCCCCATCCCTTTCCCAATCCTTGTTTCTATACATATCTTCTTTCTCATCTCTCCCCTTCCTGTAACTGTTCCTGTCGCCCTTCCTCTACTACTGAAATTCTACAAAAAAGTAGCTTTCTACTTTCACACCTCTAGAAAAATGTGCTCATCATTCATTCGTTTAACATTGTTAGCCTCATGTAGAAGATCAGGCAATGGACTACAAGGGGGAGCACAGAAGAAAATAAGGTGGTATTTGTAGTGGAAATGCTGACTTGTCAGGGATGGAAGCAGAGAGCTATGCTGTCAGCATCCAAGGATGAAGATGGTGAAATCTTTAAGAGTTAGCAGCTGCTTCATGTCTAGCAAAGAGTGCCTAATATCCCTAGGGAACAGATATTTTTGTCTGTGAGGAAATCATCACCGAAGCCTGACGTTTTAGTTTTGTGGCTCTGAGATAAATAGGGCCATGTGCTGTGGAGAGGGATCAGCAAAGACTACCCATCACTGAAGGCCAGAGAGGAAGAACTTGATCTTCTCTAGGGGAAGCATGGTAAACGTCTTTTGGGAAGAAGAGATTGCAAAGGAAAATGGAAATTGTGGCTTTGACTCTTCTCTTTGAAGGGGCTGGATGATCTTAGAGCACCCTGATAGACTGGAGGCATAATTAGACTCAGGAGGCAAGCAAAGACCCAGTGTTGGTTCACAAAGAGGAAAAGAGGGGGCTACAATCCTGAGCTGAGTTGGACACTTAACTTGACCCAACCCTTTGAAACCTCAGGTGTGTCCTGGGGACGCTGCCTACCTATGTGTTTATCTACCATAACTGATGTTTTCAAAAGTGAGTCTAGGGGCTGGAGAAACAGCTCAGTCAGTAAAGTGTTTGGTGCACAAGCATAAAAGCCTGAGTTCAGATCGCCAGCTTGGTATGTCAGTACATGTGTGAAATCCTTGTGTTGGGGAAGTCTTGGAGCTCCCTGGCTGGCTAGCTCCCTAGATAAATCAGTGACTTAAGGTTCATTGAGAGACTGTCTCAACAATTCATCTAGAGAGTGGCTGAAGAAGACACCCAACATTGACATCTGGTCTCCACACACATACACACACACACACACACACACACACACACACACACACACCTACACTTATAGGTAGGTGTACATACACTCATGAACATGAATGAACACACCCATACCCCCCACCACACACACACACACACACACACACACACACACACACACACACACACAAAATAAAGTGTACTGAGAAATCCTGGGCTTCTATAGTTTTGGACTACCACAGACAAGTGAAACTCCTGAACCTCCTGAGTTGTTTTCCTGGTCCCCATAGCATGTCTTAGACCAGGCAATCCCCGCATTTTCCATTCTTCTGGATGCCAATATTATTGACTACACTCACACACAGAGAGACACACAGAGACACACACAGAGCATACACAGAGACACAGAT